GAGGGTGGGGGTCACAACCCTCCCAGACGAGCAAGTTTAACCTCCCCCCAGGCGTGCCAGGAAGGGGCTGCATTTGGCCCAGACCCACCGAACCCTCCAGGACAGCTCAAGTCAGAACCCCTCCCAAACAGGCCCCCCCCTCCTTTTTTGTGAAAACTGGGGCGCCCACTGTCCACTTGTGACGTGCCTTGGGACGTCGGCTCCCCGCGGGGTGTACATCATACTCGGTGGTTTCCCGAGCTCGGCCGTTGCTCTGTTTCGGGGGGCGAAGACGTTTCGGGCTCCGGGTCCGCGTCGGGGCTCGGAAGGCGGATGCGTTGCTCACGCCCCTCGTGCCGTGCAACGCGCGCAGATTCGCGCGCCTCGGGCGCCGAGAGCTATGCACGGGCACCGATCCTGGCCAAGCCCATCTTAGGCCCAGGATCGATGTACACGCATCCTCGGACAAACCATGGGAGCGCATGCGCCGATCCTGGGCCCATGATGAGCCTGGCGATGATCGGCGCAAGTGCGCAGCGCTCTCCCTGGTGCCTCGGATCCCTTCCCGGCGGCGAGTGAGGGCGGGAAATGAGAAGGGCAAGGCCTTCTCAGAAGACGGCGGACCTGTCAGAAGCCCCCGCGCCTTCTCAGGAGTTTTCTGCGTCTTCGGGGAAGGCCCGGACAACTTCTCGCAAGGCTGGGGGACTGCCGAACCTTCTGAGAAGGCCCTCCTCCTCCTCCTCCTCCTCCTCCTCCTCCTCCTCCTCCTCCTCCTCCTCCTCCTCCTCCCGCCCGTCTCACCCCCCCGTGCTCGCCGCCGACCTTCGACAACGACAGCTCTTTCGAAGCTGCGCGCGGAGTTCCTGGATCGGCCCTGGGCCCCTCTCTCCCTGGCGCGCGGAGCGCTCCAGGGAGAGGCGCCGCCAGGGGGGGGGGCCTCGAGCCCCCCGGCACCGCGCGGGGCCATGTCAGCACTTCTGCGGCGCCGTGCGAACTGCGCCACTGGGGCTTTAGGTGGAGCTCCCTGTGGGGCCACGGAACGTGTGAGGGGTGCGACAAAATGGGGCGGCGCCGCCATGCGAGTTCCGCCACTGGGGCCTTGGGTGGAGCTCCCTGTGGGGCCACGAAACGTGTGAGGGGTGCGACAAAATGGGGCGGCGCCGCCATGCGAGTTCCGCCACTGGGGCCTTAGGTGGAGCGTTGTGTGGGGCCACGAAACGTGTGAGGGGTGTGCCAAAATGGGGCGGCGGCGATCCAAGCCGCCCCGGTCTTCTTCGGGAGCCCCCGCCCGATTTGCGCAGGCGGCTCTCGCGCTTAGGTCACGTGCGCGCGATGCACCGGGCTGCTGCGCCCCGCCGGGCCGCCCCTCGGCAGGCGGATGCCGCAGGGCAGCCCCGGAATCCGGCCCGTGCCAGCTGTAGCCAGGCCGCAGAGGCAGGGAGTCCGACGACGAAGGTAGCTCAGAGCCCCAAATCATCAGGGGTAACTCGGGTCAGGGCTAACTCGGGTTCGGTTTTCGGGAATCCGTACCCGAGTTACCCCGGGCCCGAGCTGCCCCGGATAATTCGGGCGTCCAGAGCCCCAAACCATCAGGTGTAACTCGGGTCAGGGCTAACTCGGGTTCGTTTTTCGGGAATCCGTACCCGAGTTACCCCGGGCCCGAGTTGCCCCAGATAACTCGGGCGCCCAAGTAGCAGTGGCAGCTGCAGTCGATGCACGGAGATAAGGACCGCTTTGGGATCGGAAGGGGCTCGCTGTTCCCAAGGTCATTGCGTGTTTGTGCCTGCAGCGTGCCTCCCGCACCCAGGCTTCCCTGGTGTCCAAACAGGGTTCCGTTCCTTATCTAGCGTTCCTTAGTTCAGCAGCCCGATTGTATGGCGATGATCATGATGATGATGATGATGATGATGATGATGATGATGGTGGTGGTGATGGTGATGGTGATGGTGATGGTGATGGTGATGGTGATGGTGATGGTGGTGATGGTGATGGTGATGGTGATGGTGATGGTGGTGATGATGAAGATGATGATGATGATGATGATGAAGATGAAGATGAAGATGATAATGATGATTATGATGATGATGATGATATTGATGATGATGATGATGATGATGATGATGATGATGATGATGATGTTGGTGATGATGATGATGATGTTGATGATGATGATGGTAATGTTGGTGATGATGATGATGAGGATGATGATTATGATGATGATGATGATGATGATGATGATGATGATGATGATGATGATGATGATGATGATGATGATGATGATGATGATGATGATGATGATGATCCGCCACCGTTCTGGCTCATGCCTTATTTGTGCTAATTCTGCGGCGCAGCATTGCAGATCATCTCTTCGACATTCAGCACTCAGCCGATCAAGCTGGCAGAGGGCCTTTCTCTCCACGATGAGCCTCCACATGGAGAAAAAAGACATTGATGCGAGGGCAGCGCGCGTTGCAGCTCACCAGGCAGCGTACAACGGCCCGGTGCTGAAACGTGAAGTTGCAGACAAGGGAATGGGCAATATCCCGTTGCACAAAGACAAGCGCCAATGGGGTTGCCAGACTTTCTGGAAGGCTGATTTTGGGAGTGAGTCTGTGGAGCGGAAAGCTGTAAGCGGAGCGGCGCTGGCGGGCTACAACGTTCCTGATGAAGATGGTGATGAGGCGCAGACTGGGCAGGCGTCAGAGGAGGAGGTTCTGTTGCAGGGAGACGTGGGCAAGCTGAGCGCAAATCAGAAACGCGTCTTGTTATGCCTCCAGGAGGCGCGTCAGCATTCGCGGTTGAAGCTCAAGCAAATCTCTTTGAGTTTCAGTGGGGCGTCCGTGTTCTTCTTCTCACCCAGCCGGAAGGACGGCAGACCCATGCCGTCATCAGTGCTCAAGTTTGATAACGCGGCGAACGTGAAGGAGGAGATTGATTTGACGCAGCAGTACGGGAAGCTGTTTGGCTTGACAACTCCGAAGGTGAAGGATTCTCAGTTTCTTGAAGATGCCCCCGAAGACGAACCGTGCGCTGTGATGCAGATCGATCTTTGCGGTGGTGTGTTCGGTCTTCCCGAGTTCGCTTCTGCCCCACCCGTGCTCACCTTTGCGTCCGTCATCCAGGGCGAATTGAATTCTGGAGCGCGCCAGGTTGACGTGGTGCCCATCGTCAACGAGGCTCTCTCACGGCGTATGTTCGATTTCACAATGTCCACGCGATCAGTGAGGAAGGAGAACTTGGCCAAGATGTACAAGATTGTCCGCTTCGTCGGCCACGGCATCCTCAATCGTGCTGCGGAGGGGGCGAAACGCAGCAAGAAGAATCCTGCCCTGGGTGCTGGTTTCTTGAGTCCGCCCAGCATCGATGACTTAGACCCCGAAGGTAAGTTCGTCAGCGAGTTGTGCGGCAAGCGTTCTACAATGAATCAGTTCTTCCACGAGTTCGTGGGACACGAGCAGCTGTTCAACAACAAGTTTGACCGGAACGTGGTCTGTGGCCTGGCGCATAACGACCTTCACGGCGGGAATTTGTTGCTTGACTCACAGGGGTTGGTCTGGCTGATCGATTTCGCCACAGTGAAGGACAACGTCCACGTGCTCATGGATCTCTCGAAGTTCCTGGCGTCCTGCCTCTTCCTGTACTTGGAGGACAACGTCGACGAGTCAATCATCCAGACGTTTGCGAAGGTTCTGTTTACAACCCCCGATTGTGAAACTGTGCTGCCTTTGGTGGCAGGGGAGCAGCTCAAGAGAGATCCGACGGCCACTTTTGTGCTTCAGTTGCTGACGCGCATCAGGTATTGTCTCTGCATCTACGAGCTTGAGGACGAGATCCCGGACAACGACGGGGTCCCGTTTGCCGTGGCGTTTTTCTCGTGGTCGGCTCGGATGTTGTCTTACAGTGAGCCCAACATTCACCAGAAGGCACGCGCGTCTTTCTTTGCTCTCGCTGGCGCCCAGCGTCTGATGTGGGAAGCTGGCGTGGACGTCGGACCGACAGCGCTAGAGTGGATCGAGCAGTACCGCGTTTTCTGGGAGGGCCAGAAGGGCCGCCGATTGAGCACCAGCGCGGCAACCGTGCACATTGCATCTTTCGAGTTTGAGTCGAACTTCCCTATGTATATCGGAGGCTTGCGCTGACCCGCTGGCCCCCAGCATGCCAAGTGAGAACATGGATAATGATCACATCGGCTATACGCAAGAGTGATCCCTCGCCAGGGTTACCTCGGCTGCGGGCTCACAGGAGGAGGAGGAGGAGGAGGAGGAGGAGGAGGAGGAGGAGGAGAAAGAAGATGCGGAGGGAGGAGGAGTCCCCAAGCATTTGCATGCGCGCCTGGCTTCGCCACACCCCACCCCCTTCTTGCCCGGGGCCACTCTTTCCCCGAGCGCGTTCCACTGCTCGCTCGTCAACGTCCGAACCTCCTTCTCCTCCTTCTCCTCCTCCTCCTCCTCCTCCTCCTCCTCCTCCTCTTTCTCCTCCTCCTCTACACATATCATCCGCGATGGAATGGATCGTAAATGTCTCTCGGCGGATGCAGGCTATTTGCGAGTAGTCACTTTGCGAGTAGTGGAGCGCGCTTGCCCACTCTGGCGCGTATCCGAGCATAAAGGAAGAGCGACGGTAGGAACAGTGGCATGAGGGGCAGGGAGGTAGTGTGAGCGGTGGGCAACTCTCTTTCTCGTTGGGCCCCCTTCAGCATCTGCAGGGAGAAGCTCGAAGGAGGAAAGGGTACCCATACCTCTACGCTTCTCTCGGTTTCCCTCTGAGCCTCCCGTGAGGCCTCGTCGCCACCGCTGGATTCGCCTCGACATTCTGGTCCGAGCGCACCATTGGAGTGGTCTGGGGAGTAGCGGCATCGGTACCTTTTACTTTCCCCAGAAGCGCGTTCTTGAGCATTTGCTGCGTGCCCTTCTAGCGTACACGGGCCTCCCAGTTCTGGGGCTTAGTCTGTCTGGCAGTGGCCACTGGACCGGAGCAGAGGACGAGGACATCGTGAATGGAGGGAGACAGATCGGAGGGAGATGTTGTGGGGAGCTAGTGACATGAACGCGGCCTGCACCAGTCAAGGCAAATGGGTCAGGGGCAACGATCGGGGGGGACAGGCATAGGGGGGGATACATCGACTCCCAGTCGCCCATTCGTCGCCGATAGGGGCCAGATAGCCCCAGCCTGCCCAGAAACGTGCAGGTTCACGATCGGGGACCTATCGCCGATCCATCGGCGATGCATCGTCGATTCCAGGTCGATGTATCACCCCTTGGTATCGCTCGGACGTGTGCATTTTTCCTTCGGCGAGGACCATCGAGGAGCATCCCTGGTCATTTGGCGAAAAAGCCACGCACGAAACCGACAAAAAACACAGGGAATGGACGTCCGAGCGATGGCCAGCCCCATGTGCCACTCCCCCCCCCCTATCGTTGCCCCCCAATGGGGAATGTCCCCAGGAAGGGAGGGGGGCAGCGGACAGAAAGGTTCGGAGGTCCGCGGAGATCTGCCGGGCCGTCCCTGGACCCCTCCCTTGGTGCGCAGTGCAGCGAGGGATATCCCAGGATGAGGTCGGGCGTGTCCCTCTGCAGGTCGAATAGGGGATCGACTACAGAATTGTTCTACCCCAGAAGTGAGTTTTTGTTGAACCTCTCAAAACAAAAACGTATGATGCCCTGCAGATCTACAGAGCATCCTGCGTATGTTTCGTAGATCCGACGGGGAAACCAGTTTCAGGGTAAAGCATTCCTGTAGTCGATCTCCTACTAAAACAAGAGGAATATTGAAAAATAGTCAAACAATAGTCTGGGGACGATTTCGTGCTAATCTTTTGAACATTTGTGGGAGATATGTTTCTTGAGTATCGTCCAGAATCCCCCCCTGTAGGGGGGCAGGCCCGACCTGATCCCAGGACGAGAAAAAGGGACATGCACTGAATATGTCGGAGGTCGTCGCAGGTGTCTTGGATCGGCGCTGGACCCCCTTGACTTAAGTCGGGCGTGTCCCTCTACAGGAGGTATATTAAACAATAGTCAACAAAAATAGTGGTGACGATTTGTTGTTCAAGAGAAAAGTTGAATGACATATCCTGACAATAAAGGGATAATATCATGCGCGTCACGTTACTGAACCAGCCTCGCCGGACCACGCGTCCGAGGTGGAGGCGCGGGGTCGGTGAGCATGTCGTCTATGCCCTTCTTGAGAATGCTCAGCCCCAGGGCGCAACTCGCCGTGAGCATTCTCGCACGCACCTGCGGACAATCATCTTGAGAAAGAACAGTCCAACCGCTCTTGCTGGTCACCCTCGGCACACTTGTCCAAAATGCCGGGGGAAGGTCATAGCGGTCTTCAACAACTCTTCGCTCACCGGCATGTCTGGGACACTCGGCGAAGGCGTGCTTTTGAGCATTTGTTGGGGCATCGTTCAGCTATGTTTAAGTTCTTGTCCACAATTCCCCTGTAGGGGGGACAGGCTGGACCTAATCCCAGGACGAGAAGTGGACGTGCACATAATTTGTCCGAGGTCGTCGCAGGTGTCTTGGCTCGGCGCTGGACCCCTGGTGTCCCTCCCTGGAGAGCGCGGAGGGCGGGCCACAGGGGGCTTCCAGCGCCGCAGACAAATCCGCACGGACCTGTGAAAGTTTTTACGTCTAAGTCGGGCCTGTCCCCCTACAGGAGGAAGATTCAAACATAGTCAAAACAATCATAGGGGGGCGAGTGTTTGACTATTTTTCGGCTCGTTGGGAGTATTGTTCTGGTATTTGAAACTTGTCGCCTAAACTCCGGCTCTAGAGGGACATGCCCGACCGAAGTTTACGACTAAGTATTTGTTTATTGTCTTTTGCTAGATTTGCCCGGGCATTCCCCCGATGCCGCCAGGGCTCTCCGGGAGCAGGTTTCTCTGGCTTGGCATCGCTCGGACGTGTGCATTTTTCCCTTCGGCGAGGACCATCGAGGAGCATCCTTGACGATTTGGCGAAAAAGCCACGCACGAAACCGAAAACACACACAGGGAATGGACGTCCGAGCCATGGCGAGGGACGCCACACGTGTCGAGCCCGTAAATGGGGATGCTCATGGGGGTCTTTGGGTTCCTCTCAGGGCCCTTCTGGGTTCGTCTCTCGGCGATTGTTGTGCTAACTTCAGGCGGCCCCAGAGGCCCACAGGAAACCAAACAGCGAGAAAGCCGAACACATCGACAACGGTAGCGAACAAGCCGTCAATAAGGGCGCCCAAGCGATAATCAGTTCCCCGATATCGGGGGGTTCTAGAGACTTGCAGAGGTCAGCACCTCTTGCCTCTCTGGGCGTCTTGGGTGCCTTTTGGGCCCCTCGGAGCGCTCCTACGCCGTCCCCGGGGCCCTCCTGGGCAATCCCTGACCTTCCAGGAGGGCTAAAGAATAGCACCAGGACATCGCCTTCCTAATTCCTGTTGAGGTGTTGGTAGGTTTCTAGGTCTGGAGTGCTATTTTGTTGGCACTCTGGAAGGTCAGGGATCGTGGGGGCCTCTTGAGAGACCCGCCGGGCCCGTCTCGGGGCCTCCCGGCCGCCGGAGATGGCCGCGCGACGGCGGCACGGGAGCCCGCGCCGCGCCCGCGAGGCCACTCGGAGCTCCCGGCTCTCGGCCCCTCGGGGCGTCGGACAGCACGCGCAGCCCAGACGCCGAAGTGGGGACCACCCCTTTCAGGAGGGAAAGAGAAACACACAGACACAATTCATCGTCGATTCTCTCGAAAATATTGGCAAAAATATAGGGAGTGGGGGGGAGGACAAAAACACCCAGAACATATGGGAAAAGATGGGGAATCCTTTCATTTGCGTGTATTTATTTGTGTGTCCTGGGGCCCCTTCAACCTTGCGGCTCCGGAGGGGCTCTGGTGCTCGGGCCGTTCCATCTATATAGATCCAGGGCGGAGGGCCGGCCCACGAGATGGCCAAGACACCGTTCAGGTCCAGCCCTGGAGTTCTGTTGCGCCCGTCGTGCTGACGGACCACGTCCCAGAGCTCATCTCGAGCGCCCGGAAAAGTGCGGAAACGGTGTCTGTCGGACGAATGTCTCCCAGGGCCCGGCGCGTGAAAACCAGGGGCCCCTTCGTGGCTGGGGCTCGCCCTGGCCAGCAAGAGCCCCGTCGTCCTCTACTCGGCGCTCCTTCTGGCCGCACGATGGTTGTATTCGATACGGTGCGGGCGTGTGTGAAGGAGTAGTCCCAGGAGGCGCCAGACCCTGGAGGATTCCTTATCCAATGAGGGCGGCGGTCGATCCACGATTGGAGTTCCACCAGCTTCCAGACCCTTGATATCAGATCTAAGGGTTCCTTATCCAGATCCTGGGGTCTCCATTTTTCGAGCCGGGCGTTTTCGCTCCGTCTCGAGCCCCGGGACCCTCACAGCTCGATCCAGCTCGGAACGTGACGCAGAATGACGGGGTCTGGGGGCCTGGTCGTGATCCTGCGTGATGTTTCACTGATGTCGCACCGTCGGACCTCATGCAAGCGGACTCTAGGGTCAGGTCGGGCATGTCCCCCATACAGGCCGATTTTTGACGGAAAGTGTAAATATTTGAATATACGTAAAAATCCATAATCTTTTAAACAAAAGAATCGTCCCCTGAGTTTTTTGCGTGTGTGTGTGAGACTATTTTTGAGCACTCCGCCTGTAGAGGGACAGGCCCGACTTGACTCTATGGGGCCCAGGGTCGGGCTGACCCGGCACATTGGCCCATTGGCCTTGCTCCCCGGAGGGGCAAAAGTCAGGAGGGGGAAAAAAAAACACAGACACAATTAATCGTCGACTCCCAGGGAAAGATGCGAAAATATACGAAGTGGGTGGAAAGACGAAAAACCAGATGAATGTGCGAGAATATGGGGAATCCTTTTATTTGTGTGTACTTATTTGTGTGCCCCAGGGCCCCTTCAAAAAGGACCTTGCGCGTGCTGCTCGCCCGGTGGCTCACAGGGGCCCCCTGGGCGCTGTGCGGCCACCACGCCGTGTAGCGAGTCAGCTGGGAGCTGGGGGCCCCCGCACGGTTAATTGGGCCCCCCTGTATAGACGCGCTAGCGGTGGGTCAGCTAGCGGCGAAGTAGGACCTTAGGAGAACCAATGGTAGGATGGCGCGGTTCGCGGCCAAACCAATTGTAGGAACGCGTGGGTCGTGTCTTCCTATAGCTCGCTGCGTCGCTCTCGTCCGACACCCTCGCAGAGCTGCAGCGTAGGAAGCGGTGCTTCGTGATTTTCTACCATTTGCTTTGCGTGAGCTCGGTGTCACAAAAACAAGATTCCCGATCGCACCGTTGACCAAGCACGCCGTCAGCGCGGCCTTGCGCCCCAGGTCGTTCTCCGAGGACGCCTCGGGCTCTGGGGGCCGCCGAGGTCCCAGAGCCGTGCGGTGACGGACCGTGCGGTGAGGTCTCTCGGGGCGTCGAGGTCACCGCGCGAGGCGTCGCCACACGGCTCTAGGACCCCCGAAGTGGCCCCTTCGTCGCCAGCTTCTAGGCTCCAGTCGGGCCCGTCCCTCGACGGGAGGAGTGTTCAAGAAGAGTCCAGAAGTAGTCTGGGGACGATGCTCGAGCTAGACCTTTTTTTTGGGGGGGGGAAGCATGTTTGGGGTGTGTTCAAGTCTACCTTCAAAATCCCCCTGTGTGCGGGCAAGATTCATATCCATATCCAGTGCGTCTTGGACTTGTTCGGAAGGGGCGCCACAAGGCCCAGGCGCACTGGATACGGACAAAAGTCGAGCCTCTGGGGGGAACGTTTGTCCATCTCCAGTGCGCCTCGGGTTTCCGGGGAGGGGAGCCCCAGACTCCATACTGCAGTGGACATGGATCGAGGTACTGCCCGCACCGTGTGCCTGTGGAGGGACAGGCCCGACCTGATCCCGGGCGGCCCGTGGCTGGCCAAGGCGCCCTTCGCCCTGGTCGCAGCGGCCGAGCTCGCTGCCAGGCCAAGCAGGGGCTTGCACGCCGGTGGGGGCAAGGCTTTCAGGTGGGGCATGTCCTCCTGCAGGCATATTCTGGACTACAAGTAATCAGAGCCCCGAATCATCAGGGGTAACTCGGGCTCGTTGTTCGGGAATCCGAACCCGAGTTGCCCCGGGCCCGAGTTACCCCGGATAATTCGGGCGCCCAAAGTAATTAGGTGGGGCATGTCCTCCTACAGGCAGCGAGCGAAGAACGGCATAACATAAACTTTTTGGCTGTCGGGGGCGCCTGTCCCTGGGCGGCTGGAAAGTTGATACCCTGACGGTGCCACTTCGCCCGTTAATACAGGCGGATTATGGGCGACAAGTAAGCCACATAATCGAACAGTACTCCAAGCACTGCCAAGAGATGGTGGAGGAAAAATCGTCCCCGGACTCTTTTGTTAAAGTGCTTTGGAGCAAGCCCCCCTGTAGAGGGATATTCCAGAGGGGAAAAAACACGCAGACACAATGAATCGTCGATTCCCCCGAAAAGATGGGAAAATATGGGAAGTGGGGGGGCAGACAAAAACCCAGAAAAGATGGGAAACTATGGGGTATATTTCTATCTGTGTGTATCTAGTTGTGTGTCCTTGGGCCCCTTCGGACATGCCCGACGTCAGGCGAGGCCTCGGGGCCCCGGGCGGCCTCGGGCCTCGGGGCCGCGGGCGCCTTGGCTGCGGCCAGCCGGCTCCTCCGCCCGAGTGCTGCCCCCTGACGGCCCCCGGGCCCGAAGACCCTCCTGAGGTCAGGGGCACCCGAGAGGGGGCTAACAACTAGGTGTGTGTGTGCACGTGTGTGTGTGTGTGTGTGTGCGTGTCTGTGTCTCTGTGTCTCTGTGTCTCTGTGTCGCTGTGGCTCTGTGTCTCTGTGTCTCTGTGTCTCTGTGTGGCTCTGTGTCTCTGTGTCTCTGTGTCTCTGCGTGTGGCTCTGTGTCTCTGTGTCTCTGTGTCTCTGTGTCTCTGTGGCTCTGTGGCTCTGTGTCTCTGTGTCTCTGTGTCTCTGGTCTCTGTTCTCTGTGTCTC